CAGGAAAGGAGCCTGACTGCAGAGCCTCTCTGAGATTTAATCACACCACAGACTGTCTGGAGAACTTTAATTTCACCTTGTTATTTCTCTCTCCCTCGCTCCCCCACAGCTTTTCTTTGATTTTTGGAGCTAGTACTGTAAACCACAACCTGTCTGTGTGGCACTGAAAATATAGAAGTCTGTAAATGAGTGTCCTCAGTGCCTGAGCTCTGCTGGGTCTGCAGTAGGGGGGTGACATTCAGTAGCATCCACCAGACCAGTCCCTGTTGATATCCCACATTTGGAATTCAAAGAGAAGACTATCCAGGGCTTCATGTAGCACAGAACAGGCCTGGGTAATGCAGAATTTTGCCCTGTGAGCACTTTCTGATTGAGTTCAGACCATTGGCAGAAATATCTGTACCATGAGTGACTCTCCTGTGACTGTGAGTAGGTTTGGGAGCAGTCACTCCTTCCTCCTGGTCAGGATGTAGAGGGAAAGGAAAATCAATGCCTTGGGACACCACAGATGTGACAAGGTGAAATGTCCTTGTGTGATTTGGGGCTGATACTGTAGACACATTAATTTTACCCATGGCTTGGGCACCTGGCCTTTATGGCTCAGCTTGGTGATGAGGGGATGTTTGAATTCAGCAGCACTGAATTTTGGCAGTTTTGTTTCTGAGCAGATCAGTGGGAAATTCCCTTGACCTGTTAGATTTTCATCTTAGAAAAGGTTTAGAAGTGTTTACCAGCACAGGAATTGTGTATGTATCTAGGGCAAGGGAGAGTGTTTCTAGGAATTTAGAAATGAATTGTCATGCATAAATCAAGAATTTCAGCTGCTTGCCTCCAGGGCGTCTGGGATTGTTAAACTGTTGAGGCTTTAATGTTTATACATTTATAAAAAGAAAATTGAATGTGGTTTTTTGAGCATGGTTTTGCATCAAGGTTGTTTATGGGTAAAAGCCATCATCCATCCTCTTTGTGATTCCCAGAGAGTGCAGAGAAATGGATGGATAAGGATATCCCTGCCCTGGGCTGAGCCCCCAGCAGGGGCTGCAGGAAAGGAGCGGGGGGATTCTGCCCCTCTGCCCCACTCAGATGAAGCCCCACCTGCAGAGATACTCCCAGCTCTGGGATCCCCAACATCAGAGGGATCTGCAGCTGCTGGAGTGAGACCAGAGGAGGAGATGCTGCAAGGGCTGGAGAGCTGGAGGTGCTCACCTGGAGAGGAGAAGGCTCCAGGGAGAGCTCAGAGCCCCTTGCAGGGCCTAAAGGGGTTCCAGAATAGCTGGAGAGGGACTGGGGACAAGGGATGGAGGGACAGGACACAGGGAATGGCAGGCTGGATGGGGTATAGGGGAGGAATAGCTCCCTGTAAGCACAGATTGAAGCTGTGGCTGCCCCTGGATCCCTGGCAGTGCCCAAGGCCAGGTTGGTGGGGGCTTGGTGCAGCCTGGGACAGTGGAAGGTGTTCCTGCCTGTGGCAGGGGTGGCACTGGGTGGTCTTTAAGGTCCTTTCCAGGCCAAACCATTTTGTGGTCAGGGCTGTGAACAGAAAAGATGAGCAGCTTCCATCAGAATGGCTTTGGATTAAACACTTGGCACTATTTTTTGTACCGAGCTCAAAGTCCAGCTAGTTCTAATTGAGGCCCCTGGTCCCAGCAAATGAGCCTTGACTCTGCCTTTGTGTGTCTGGGGAAGAAAATAAACCTAGTGAAATAAAACCCATTATCAGATGCAGAGGGATGAATAAACCTTCATTAGGATTTGAGCCAGTTGATTTAGATGGGATTAGAAGAAATTTTGGATTTGATGGAAGAGGTGGGGTTTTTTAGGGGGAAAAATATCCCCCAGAGGCAAAACCAAATAGCAAAGCCTATGTCAGCAAAAGCCTTTGAAGTCCTTCAGAACATTATTACTTGCTGAACTATAAAATATAAAACTGTCCCTCTGTGGAGCTCAGGGGAACCCAAACTTTCTTTGCTGAGAACAGTTGTAAAAAGATAATAGGAACACTAAAGACAAAATTAAATTCAGCACTCCAAATCTATAAACAAGTCTGTAAGATGTTGTCATTGATCCTTGCTGGAGTTTCTGTGCAGTTTAGATTTGGAAACAGTTTTAACAAGAGCTTTGCACATCTCAGCTCCTCTCCAGCACCCAGCATTGGGGTGCAGGTAAATAAAGCCACAATGCCCTGGCTTTTGGGGCCTCACCTGAAACTCCAAGTCAAGCAGATCTAATAAAGCTGACTTGAAGCCAATGGCTGGTTTTAATGCTGCAGCTCACAGTGGTGCTGTAAAGTGAAATGCTTGAGACTCTTTATTAGTGATTTCGTGCAGCTGAGCCTCGCTCAGTGGGGTTTTACAAGGGATTGGCATGCGAGTTTGGGGCTGTAAGAAAAGGCTGGGTTAGGGACCCTTTGGAAATTCAGGCTTGTAAAGCAGCAGGGTTTGCTGTAATTTGATTGAAAAAAAAATCAGGATAGGATAGGATCTTTATTCCCCCTGAAAGTTGAAAAGGCAGTTGAAATTTTATGTAGCTTCCCCCCCTTTTTTTTTGTTTTACTGTCTTTGTAAAATGCCTTTAAGACCTCGAAACTTGAAAGGTCTGTGCAATATTGTCTGTTTTGGCAGAGTGAAAGGTGTGTGTTTATTTTTGATTTTTCTTTTGGAAAGCAAGGCAAAAGCTGGCCTGGTTTGGCTGTGCTTCCCTGTGTGTGTGCTCAGCCTGTCCCTGTCAGGAAAATGTGCTGCTGTTTGGGGAGGGGGCAGAGGTTCTGCCTGGGGAGCTCCACTCCTGCACCACAGCTGCTCTTTTGGTGTGTCAGCAGAAAGCTGCTTTGGGTTTTTTTTTTTTGTATTCTTGGAGCAATAACACTGATATTTATCCTACTTTAAAATCAAATTGAGAGCAAATTTCCAATGGTTTGGATTTGGGATTGCCTCTCTTTGGTGCTTTTGAAGTTGCTGAGTGTGTCCCTCTAGGGACAGGAGCACTGAGCACTTTGATTCCAGTGTGCTGTGTGTTGCTGGAGAAGCCTCAGTGCTGGTTCTGTCATTTCAGGGCATTATTCCTGCCCTGTTGTTTCCTTTGTCAGAGGATGGAAGGGGATTGTCTCCCTCTGCCAGTTTGCACTGAGGTTTCTGTGTGATTCAGAATGTTCAGTTTGCTGCATTAGGGTATTCCTATTTGAGCACTGCTTTTCTTTGTAGGTCTCAAACCTTAAAAACACTTGCAGGTTACTCAGATTACCCCTTCTTTCATCATATTAAACATTTTTTGTGTGTGTGACTATGGAAAAAAATGGCAAATAAATATAAAGAGATAGTCCTGGGAGAGTTTGTGTCCATGGTAGGCTTGGATTCTTGGCATAATCTGGGGACTGAAATGAACATTAGATGCTTAATTGTAACTTACTAAAAATGATGTCAGTCTCAGAAGGTTCTTTTAATCTTTTTAGAACCAGAGCACAATTGATTGCTGCTTTCACCAGTCGTGGCTTTCATTGGTTACGTCTGTTTTTTTAAATTAAGAATTACTGAGGGGAAAAAGAAAGCTACTTAAGTTGGCTCTTACCTCTTGAATCTTTCATTCTGAGCCCACAATTGATTGTGATGAAGCTGTTCTCTGTGGAATGGGCAGCAACTTGAGGCTGCTTGAAAAACTTAATAATTCATTCCTATTTATGCATACTGTAATACAATAGGTTATAAATCACTAATGTCATACCCCTAATCAGGCATTGTCAGTGGGACTTCAGAGATATGGTGCTGTGATCTGAGTAGGTTTCTTAGCTACAAATATGAAAATGTATTCATATTTTTGCTCTAAGCTCACAATTCTCTCTTAATTGTTTTCTTGCTGTTTTTCCTGTCAAAATTTTCCGATCACTGATACTTCAGGTTGACAGTGTGGCCACTAAACTGCTGTTCACGTTATGTGGAATTTTAGTAGAGTATAAACTCAGTTATTTCCTGAAGAAACCACAGAAAGCAAGCCTTTTCTTAAAAGTCTGGGGTTTTTATACACTCAGGTATATAAAGATTGAACAAAGATATTTGTTTAAGTAAGACTTTCATCTTACTACAGACCTGTATTAATTTATATCTTTTATTTCTATAATTTCTAATATTTCTATAATATAAAATACTATTTAGTATTTTATATTAAATATATTTTTCCTTATCCATTTATGAGAGATCCATATATAAACATTGATTCCTAGGTCAGCAGGACGTGGAAAATCCTGGCAGAAGACGAAGTGCTGTGGTACCGGCTGTGCCAGGAGGAGGGATACCTGTTGGACATGAGCATTTCTGACCATTCCTGCTGGAAGCTTGCCCTCAAAAACTGCAGAGCCAGAGAGCACATGCTGAAAACCAACTGGAAGGTGACAGGGAATTTCCTTAGAGAAATGGGGAAAAACGGGAACATGGTTTGACAAGTGGGAGAGGAGAGTTGGTGTTGTGTTCTGCAGCTCCTCTTTCCCAGCTGAAAGCTGCTGTGGTGGGAGTTGGGATAGATGTGTCTTCTCTCAGCAGCAAAGCTGGGAGTTTGGCAGCAGCAGGTTTGGGTGGCTGGAGGGATGGGAAGACCAAGGCCTGTGTCTCTCTGCAGAACCGCGTGGGTGCCGTGAGCCAGCTGCACTACGAGCCCGGCCGGGTCCTGTGCGACGCGCACTGCTGCGACGGCGTGGTCATGGCCGGGTGAGCACGGCTGGCACTGCCCTCTGCAGCTGCAGCGGGTCTGCAGTGCCCCCTGCACCTCCCCCTGAGTGTGTAATGCCCCCTGCACCTCCCCCTGAGTGTGTAATGCCCTCTGCACCTCCCCCTGAGTGTGTAATGCCCTCTGCACCTCCCCCTGAGTGTGTAATGCCCCCTGCAGCTCCCACGGAGTGTGTAATGCCCTCTGCACCTCCCACTGAGTGTGTAATGCCCTCTGCAGCTTCATAGAGTGTGTAATGCCCCCTGCACCTCCCCCCTGAGTGTGTAATGCCCTCTGCAGCTCCCACGGAGTGTGTAATGCCCTCTGCAGCTCCCACGGAGTGTGTAATGCCCTCTGCATCTTCATAGAGTGTGTAATGCCCCCTGCACCTCCCACTGAGTGTGTAATGCCCTCTGCAGCTGCAGTGGGGTCTGCAGTGCCCCCTGCATCTCCCCCTGAGTGTGTAATGCCCCCTGCATCTCCCACTGAGTGTGTAATGCCCTCTGCACCTCCCACTGAGTGTGTAATGCCCTCTGCAGCTTCATAGAGTGTGTAATGTCCCCTGCACCTCCCCCTGAGTGTGTAATGCCCTCTGCAGCTTCATAGAGTATGTAATGCCCTCTGCAGCTGCAGCGGGCTCTGTAGTGCCCACTGCACCTTTCATAGCGTGTGTAATTCCCACTCCATCTTTTATAGTGTGTGTAACGCCCACTCTACCTTTACCAGGCTGTGTAATGCCCACTCCATCCTCTGCGGAGTGTGTAATGCCCACTTCATGTATTACAGAACATGTAACATCCATTGCACCTGCAACAGTGCATAGTGCTACTCCGTCCTTACCAGAGTGTGTAATAGTTCCCACTCCACCTTTTATAGAGTGCATGTTTACCAGAGTGTCTAATGCCACGTCCATTGTTTATAGTGCCCACTCCTATAGAGTAATGCCACACTTCTATAGAGTGTGTAATGCTCATTTTATCTTCACCAGAGTGTGTAATCCCCACTTCACCTTTAACAGAGTGTGTAAAGCTTGCTCCATCCTTACCAGGCTGTGTAATACTCCCTCCCCCTCTACCAGGCTGTGCAATGCCCACTCCATCTTTACCAGTCTGTGTAGGGCTCACTCCACCTTCACCGTCTGAAATCTCAGGTGCTTCTTTTAATAAATTCAAAAGCAGCACTTGTTTGAAGCATAAGAATGGATTCACCTGCAGTTCCTGAGACAGGCATTCCTTAAGTGGCTGATAAGGATGTTTATCTACAATTTACCTCAGCAGGTCAAATTTTTATGGAACTATTCAAAGGTTATCTCATGTATAAGTAGTTCCTATAAAACCTCAGGTGCTTTCTGATGAACTCCATCTATTGTTTTGCTGTGGAAGCACCCAGAATGTATTAAACATTTTACACATCTACTGAAAAAAAAAAAACTTTTTTTGTGTTTTTTTCATAAAAATCTCTTCATCACAAGGGTGTCTTGTCACAGTACAAAAATAACTTTAGAAGTACTGTTACTTTTCTCCATTCTTACTTAAAAGACAACCTGGGAGGAAAATAACCCACTCAGAATAGATAAACTCAAACTTCTCTTTTCCTAATATAGAAGTTTTCTGGACCGTGGTTTAATGTTACCTATTCATATGGCTTATACTCTTAAATACAATTTTAAGAGTCCTACAAATTTTTAGAAGAGGTTACAGTCATTCTCCCAGTAAGTGTGAGGCTTTACTGTGTTCTGTTTGAATTTCACAGGTTCAGTAATTAGTAACCCTCCAGAAATGACATAAATAAATAAAAATTATGATATCCTGGGGAGCTGGGACATTGTCCTTGACATACCAGAGTTCAATGTTTTATGGTAACACTTCATGTTAATGGTGTGGGACTGAGAAAACTGCTACTAAAATACTTCAAAATTTACAGACTGGTTATAAGAAAGATGCCTGGAACATTCCAATTCATGGAAATGCTTTCGAGTGCTCTTGGACAGCTGAGAGCAGGACTCTGAACTATCAGACAGCAAACCCAGTTGTCTCCATGCTGCTGCCAAAACCTCCAGCTCTTCTTTTCCTTCATTTTCCCCACTGCATTTATATCCAAACGTGCAGTAGATAGGAGTTAAGCAGATTAAATTACATTTCTGAAGTATTAATAAACAAAGGTTACGAATCCTGCATATTAAGCTCAAATAGTCCATATTTTGACTTGGTGTATTAGAGAAGTTGGGTTCTGACAGCTGCACACACTCTTTTCATACAATTAAATAATTCAGGTTACTGAAAATAGATGATCATGTAAGAGACCACTGAGGGAAATCTGGATGTGTGTATCCTTTAGAAAAAATGATGTTCACTTAAATGACTTTCCAGTAATTGCTCTGAAAAATGAATTATCTCTTTATGAAGCTGTGAGCATGTGTTTGATAAAACAACATGAGGAAATCAGAATTCAGCTGTTTGAATTTACCTGGTTAGTAGATGAAGCGTTTAGAGTATTAGAACACAAAAATTATGTTGTCCTTTGCTGTTTACTGCTTGTTCTTCCCCCTGCTTTGTCTCTTAAATTGGTAAATGGTAAATATCAAACAAGGGAGACCTCAAGTTATAACTAAAACTTCAGAGGGCATCAGCAAATTGTGCAGAGAAATACTTTATTTGCATTTGGTAAGAATTTAGGATATTGAGGAATTTGTTGGGGTTTTGTTGTTTGCTGTGTTTATATTTTTAAAATCCAACCATAACCCTCCCCTGTCTCTCCCAGCTTATAAAATTGAACTTAATGGCATTGTGCTTTCAAATTTGTCATGAAAGTGTAATGAATCTGGTGATCAATAGCAAACTGTTGTGTTCTTTCAGTACTGAAGAAGTAATTTAATAGCTGAGGTTTACAAAGTCAATTCTCCTCTCAGTATAAATATCAATTATCTGTTACATTTAATGATTCTCTCTCCTGTTTCACAAACACTTGTGTGTTCAGCTTTGCATGGGAATAATCAGTGATTACAGAGGGACCTGTGTGTCCGAGTGTGAGTTTGCAAGGCCTGGTGCAGCTAATCCAGAATTCTGGGGCATTTCCCAAGGATTTTCTGTCCAGTGGTTTGGGCCATCACCTTTCTTTTGTCCCTGAGGCTGCTGCTCAGGGCTGCTCAGTTTTCAGAAGGTTTTTTGATTATAATTCCCTCAGCCACTCCTGGTGCTCCAGCCCCTCCAGGTCCTTTTTGTCCTGAGGGGCCCAGAACTGGACAGAGGATTGGAGGTGCCCCAGGGGTGCCCAGTGCTTTGCCCTGGGACACCCTTGGCCTTCTTGCACACCTGGGCTGGTGTAGCTGGTTGTCACCAGCACCCCCAGGGCCTTGTCCACTTTATCCAGCTGCTCCTGCCCAGGCCTTCAGCATTCCCTGGGGTGATGGTGGCCCAGGGTAGGACCCAGCACTTGGCCCTGCTGATGTTCTGTTCCAGAACTTTGCCTGGCACTGAGGTCAGGCTGACAGGACAGCATTTCCCTGGATCCTCCTTCCAGCCCAGCTCCTGGATTGGCATCACGATTGCTGAGCTCAGTCCCCTGGCAAAGGAGGGACCATGACCTCCCTGCTGGGAAAGGGTGGGAAGTGTTGGGGTGAGCTCTGCCCCGCTCCCTCAGCACCCTGGGGTGGGCCCCAAGTGCTGCAGCAGGATGCCAGCCTTTTCCCCTTGGGTCATGGGGGCTTCATTCTGCTCCCTGTCCCTGTTTTCCAGCCTGGGTACCCTGAGGACAAGGCCTTAATTCTCTCAGCCTTTTCTTCCTCTTTTGTCACTGTTTCTCCCTGATCCAATAGAGATGGAGATTCTCCTTAGCAATCCTTTTGTTGCTGCTGTATTTATAGAAACATCTTTAATTCTTTTTTCTGGCAGCAGCCAGATTAAGTTCTAGTTGGGCTGAGAGGAGTTCTGGTTGGAGAGAGCAGGAATGCTGGGGCTGGTGTGTTTGAGAATCTTGGAGCAAGCCTGGATTGATTGATTTGATTGGAACCTGTGCTGTGTTAGACAGGATCTTGTCATCTTCACTGTCCTGCTTCAAACTGCTGCAAAGTGGAATAATTTTTATTTTAGTTGCTGTAGAGCTTTTTAATCTTTCTGAAAGGGAATTTATACAGGTTGTGGGCAGAGTGACTTAAACCTGCAGCTGTGATTTATAGAGGCACAGTTTGAGCTGGTTCAGGAGCAGCTCTTTATTAGTCTGTGAAGGAAGCAAAGGCAGACTGCACAGAGAAATGCTTCTATTCCATGCACTCTCCACTTGTCCCCACGCTGCTGGCCAGGCTGAAGCCAGGAGATGGCAGAATATCAAGGATTGATTGAGTGCAACCTGAGCTGGGAGCGAGGTGGCTGCGAGCAGCTCCCCTTTGTGCTGCCTGACATCAGATAATTCAATCTGGCCTGCACGCAGAGCTTCTTGTGTTTGTCATTAAAATTTCATCCCGGTGGTTACGAGGCTTGTTTTCTGGGTCAGCCCCTGAATCCCTTTTCATTTGAGCCCGTGGTGTTTGTGGTTACCTCACTCCCAATCAATGCTGTATTCGCCAGCCTTTCTCCAGTTACACGTCTCGGAGGATCTTCTCTAAAGGGATGATGTTCTCCCCCTCATCCTCGATTCAAATGGAGTTTCAGCCCTAAGTCAGAGCTTACTTAAAGTAATTATATAGCTGCTTGCTTGGCTTTTAGAAATTCCTGCTGGTGATGAGGCTCCCTGTGCCTAATGCTGTCATTTACTGTGCAGAATGCCTGGATTGCTTCACTTTCTCTTACTAAAATCTAGATTTATATGGGTTTTTTTTTAAGCAAATGCATGTTCAGACGGTAAAATTGCTGCTTTTTTTCCTTTTTTTTTTTTGCAGTTGGAGGTTGGGTCCTCCTGGACAGAGTGATCTCAGAACATGCATCTGGTCCTTATTTGACCTTGTCATTTCAGAGGATCCCGTGGTGTGCTGTGCCCATGGCATGTCCTGAGCCTGTTGCTCCTGACTGGCTCTGAATTACTCACCTGTGGCTGTTCTTGAGCCCTGGGGTGAGCTTGCCTTGTGCTGCTGGTGCCCATCTCACCTCACAGCTCACCCCTAAAACCACACCAGGTGGGCTTTCAGGGGGAGGTGTTAATTTTTTAATGCTTGCAGAAAAATCACTGTGGCTGCTGGTGGTGGCTCTGAAAATAAGTAAACAAAAGAGGTCCAGAGTCAGACCACCCTTCCCAAGACCCAGAACTAGAAATATCATCTTTTCCTTTCTTTTTTCTTCAGTTTCCATGACTGAATGGTGGCCTGGTAGTGAAGAGCTTGGCCACAAACTGATCTAGCAGATGCTCTGAGGAGTCCCTGCACCTCTTGCAGACTGGGAAATCAGCCCTGGCTTCTCTTGAAATTTTAATTTCAGATGTTTTCTTCCTTCCCCTGTAAGTACTGCCAGCTTTCCTTGGGATTTGAGGAGTTAGGACTGGTGACAGTCATCTGCTGATTTCCTTGATAAACCAACAGATTCACATTTCCTCCCTTTTCAGGGTGGAGCACTCCTGGCTCAGGTGCTGTTTCCCCAAGTGATGCTTGAGAAAGGCAATGAGAAGCTAAGGAAGAACTTCCTAAATGTCCTGTGTGGTTTGTTA